ACCATTCGCGAAGTCCAAACCGGAAGCCCCTGAGGCTGTTAGTTATGATGGACCCCTGCTTCTTTACTGTGAGGCAGATTTTTCTGCCAAAATGCTGTTCACCACTCTGCACAACCCCTTAGTAGCATATTTTAATAATAGAATTATAACTTTCTGCATGTCCCACCCTGTATTAAAGAAGTTATTTGGCTTTTGCCCAGGTGAGAGATTTATTGTGACTACGCAGGAGCCCTCTTATAAATCCCTTTGGAAATGGCACTTGACATGAAGTAAAGTTCAACAGTGTTGATTTTATTGAACAGGCACAGTTGAGTTAGGAATAGGGTAGGGAATGAGAAGCTGAGGTAACTGTTGTTGTTTAAACAAATTATAATATTTTGATCAGGCAACAGAGTATAATTGAAGCTTATATTCTTAGAGACTCAGTTCTTGACTGTGAGAGGTTTGTTTGTCTTGGAGATTTCTTTCAGCAACAATGTGTCTTAATAAAGTTCCATAAAACTATTTTAGTTTCCTGGAAGTTAGTACTTCCCTCTGAATATCTGGGTAAGAAATATCCTCCTCTTTCTAGGAGTGATAATCCTTTTCTGTTTGGCTAGACTGGAAGTTTTCAACCTCCTGTCCAGTCTCTTCTGTCAAACCCAAACCCCAGTTCTGGAGACTGTTAATAAACAGAATTCAGCTAAGGCTGATGCTTAGACTTGAAGTTCTAATTTCTGAACTTTTCCTTAAATGTGTTGGTACACAATAAGGACAAGGAGTTGTGTCCCTTCACTTCTGAAGTGACTTATCTGTTTCCCTCAGACCAAAGCACACATTCCTCCTGACTGGCAACTGCCAAGCCAAAGTCCAAAGGACGACTAACCCCCTCTGACCAGATTGACAGACTTTTGAAAGCTCTCCTCAGCTGATGCTGACCAATCAGGGAGAAGGGGGTGCACAAAGGCAGCAGCTTGTCAATCAAACTATGCTTTACAGTCAGGCATTAACTCCTAATCTCCCAGCTCTCTGAATCTGATGCACTAAGGCTGCATTCAAATGGGCACTTGGGTCCAATATAGTTGCTTTTCCCTAATGGTTCACACAGCCATATCTGGTAGTTCTTCCCCAGTCACACCCCGTCTTAAGACCAGTTGGAGATGGAGTAAATAGACAGTAGTTGAATTCCGGTGCTAATGGATCCCTGAGCATTCATCCCACATTTCCAGATGTCTGAACTCCCCTCTTGCAAAGTCAAGTCATTTGGGAAGTCTAATCCTTCCCTTCCATTTCCACCTCCTTTTGTGGGGGAGGATTGAGTAATGAAGTTCGCATAAGCACATAATTGCCCCTGGTCACATAAGCGCATAATCAGCACCATGTCACTCCAAGCTGCCAGTCTGTCCGCAGCCTAAGCATCCTGCTTTTAGAAGTAAGTTCTACACATTAGTCTTCAGCAGCGATTCCTATTCTTTGGTTACATTTTTTGAGACTGTAGTTCGATGTTAAAGATTCTTTTCTGTAACCTTAGGCTGATAGCCTTGTGTGCTGCAAATTTTTGAAGTCTTTTGTTTCATTGTAATTCTTTGACGCTACTTACATTGTTAGCATTGTTTATTGTATTCCATTTTCCCTTAGGGGGCATATTCGTTCATTGTTTGCACTATCATTAATTAGTATTTTGCCAAGTTGGTAAATTAACATTGAGCACACAACACAGTAAAAGGTTTTATTTATTGACTTTATTTATTATATATTAAGTCTCCAGATGGGGCCTGGAGATCTCGTGGAATTACAGCTGCTCTCCAGACGACAGAGGACCGTTCCCAAGGAGTCCTGGAGGACAGAGCCAATGGCATCACACCCCTGATGAGCTCCCTCCCCTCCCTGAACTCTGCCTTCCCGAGGCACTACCTCAAAATATCTAGGAATTTCCCAAGCCAGAATTGGCAACCCCATGAAGCAAAAGCAGGGGTCATTTTGTAGAAAAAGAGGTGCAGGAGCTTATTAGCATAACTCATTAGCATAACTTATTTGCATATGCCACACCCCCTGACACCCCCAGAAGTGTGTCAGAAGGCAACACCCACCGCTCAGGCTCCACCCCAAAAATCTCCAGGTATTTCCCAACTCAGAGCTGGCGAGCCTACCTGGAGAAAAACTGCTTCAAAAGCACAAAGAAAATTTGTGGCAGGGGATCAGCTTTTGTGAGCCACTGCTCTCTTCTACAGATACTTCACAGCTGAAGAAGTGACCAGTGACCCAGTTATGAACAGAGGCTACAGTTCCCGCATTTGCAGAAGTCTACAGATATGGGCAACATTCTCCTCACTTGCTACCTACGTGTACTGGTTGATGACTCTGTTTCAATGTATCTGAAAATTAGTGCATGAACACAAAAGCTTATACCCAGAATTAATCTTTGTTGGTCTTAAAGGTGCCACTGGACACAAACTGTCTTCTGTTGCTTCAGACCAACACGGCTACCCACCTGAATCTATGCAAACCAGAATTATTCAAGACAGAATATCTGTTCCAGTGCAACAGGGAAGCCAGGCATTTAATCCTCCCCCTCGGGAGGGGGAGGGGCCTGGGCTCGTTACTGCTGGAGTGCTGCTCCGGGGTGCTCCAGCAGGAAACGACCCCTGAACAGAAGCATGCTGGGAAATAGGAATTGCAGTGGGTTGTGTAAGATCAGGGTCTTCCCCACACTTGCTCTGGACAGCTGAAGCAGAAAAGCTTCATTCTTCTCCACATATGTAAAGAAGTTTGTCCTGAATTTGTGTATGGGCTTTAGCTTGCATCAGGAGAAAGGCAGTTTAGGTAGCTTTCCTGGGATGTCTGTTACAAAGCAAATACTGAGCAAACACATGACTGATTGTGATCTGTTTCCATTGTGGGAGCATGTTTAGCATCTGTTTCGCTTATCAGTGACTTTAGTATAAGGCCTTGGGTTTGCTGACCTAGTTCGTGAACTCGGTAAAGGTTAATGACCCAAAATTCCTTCACTGGTTTGCTAACAGAGGTTGAATTCAGTCACGTGGTTCTAGTTGCTTTAGTCTAGTGGCTCTGCAGCCAGCACACGGCTCCCACAGACATAAGCAATACAGAACAGACCACATCTGAATTGGTGACATGGGAAAGTGGCAGGAAATGACAAAAGAGGTAATGGAATTTGTTAGGGGGAAATTGTGTATTTGCTTGTGGTTAGCAATTACAGGCACAGACAAGAGTTGAGACGTCTTTTAGAAAACAATATAGTATTTCAACGAGTAGCCATTTAAGGTGGAATTGCCGTTATTCATTCACTCAGTTATAGCAAAACAAGCCAGACAATATTGGCAACCTGTTGCAGTTCAATGCTTTCTGTGTTGGTTTTCTGTATTTAAGATATGAATGCCAGCAGACATGCCTGGCTTCCCTGTGCGATCTGCTCTGAGTGCCCCGTGGTGAGAAGGTCACGCAGGGAAGCCAGGCTTTTAAATCCGCCCCCCCTCCCCAAGTATCTCCGCAAAAGTAGAGCGGCTCAGGGGGAAAGGAGGGCATATCTGTCCGGCTTCCCTTAAATTATGTGATTGATTTAATTAATAATTGGTTCTGAATGTCTGTGTTTTTAAGCTGGAGTTTCTAAGAAGTGTGCTAAAAAGGCAAGGTATATAAAATCCTAGGTGGCGTAACTGTGAGTTTTCTTTGGGTTCCCGGCTATGGGGGCACTGTTCTGAACTGCCTCAAAATGTACTTGTGCTCACTTGTAGGATTTGAGTTTGAAGTGAGAAGAAGATTGCTGCTACTCTGAACTCTGTACATTGCTCAGAAATTCAGCCATGCATTTACCAAACGAAGGCATTTGTGATGCCACAATTTAGTAAATTTCAGTACAAAGTCATCCTTATGAATAAGGCAGAAACAAGACTCCTGAAAATGAATGTCGAGAGAAACTTTTAAAATGTTCCCCTACAGGCTTTTCTGTGTTGCCTTTCTTACTGTCAGATTTGTGACCGTTTGTCCTATACACGTGGTATGAATATCTGCAGATCTTAAAGTGACTATTCTAAAAGTGATTTTTTTAAAAAAAGGACACAGCAGGAGATCGCTGAGATACCACTATAACCACTGGACAACTCCCACCTTTACCTGGGTTTAGCCCAGTCCAGGGGCATTGCTGGGGGGATTCCCGGGAGTTCCCAGCCCCCCCTAAATTTCTGGGGAGCCCCTCCCTAAATCCCACATGGCTCCACCTCCATAGATAGTGATAATAGCCTGCCCAAATTGGAAAGTCTATGCCCTTGCTGGTATGGCCATATGAGCTGTGTTCTCTTTCTTTGCAGGAGCTGGAAACTCAGTACTCCCCTAGCAAGTGGTCTCCACGGCTGGTCAAGGATGTGATTGAGGCTCATATACAGGCAACTAGTGATGGTAAAGGGCCTGGGGCAGTTGGAGACTCAGGCTCAAACTAGATGTGATGTTTTTTAGCAAGTCAGATTGGGGTTCTCCTGATTCAGCTCTCTTTCTCTGCCTCCACAGTGCAGCTACCGGGGAAATATTTTCCCAAGAAGCACTGCAGGGACAGATTCAGAGTGGGACTGTGGCACTGGGGAGGGGAGCTTCTGCCTCCCTCATGCCATCATAATGAAACAAAATGGTTCCAAAATGAGTTGCAGCAACCCTGAAATGGGACAAATAACACCAAGGGCATTTCAGTTCCAAAAAAACCAGCATGTGGGGGGGGGAGGCAAAGGCTCCTCTGCCCCCGATGCTGTGGTCCTGATTCAAGTTGGGGCCTGCAATGTTTGAGGAAGTAAGGTCACCCGTCCTGGCAGGTGGCTGTGGGGAAAGTGAGTGGGATCTGAGGAACCCCCCACCTGACTCCCTAAAAAGTCATGTGTAGTTTGCACCTTGGTAATGTGCCTCAGGTTGAAGCTCTGGGTTGGGAAATACCTGGAGATTTTGTGGGTGAAGCCTGGGGAGGGTGGGGTTTGGGGAGAGACCTCAGCAGAGCTCAACCTCCAAAGCAGCCATTTTCTCCAGGGGAGCTGATCTTAGGCATCTGGAAATCAATTGTATCATAGTGGGAGATCTCCAGGTGCGACCTGGAGGTAGAAACCTCCAGAGCATCTAGTGATGGTGGGTTTGGGTCTCCTGAGAAAGAATGCTGGTAGACTTTGACCTGGGCAATTAAGGCAGCGCTTGTGTTCTTGACTCAGAGTGCATCCTCCCTTCGCACAAATTAGGTATGCCTTTACTGTTAAAAAGATTATGAGGATGTGCTCTTGCTCCTTAAATTTAAAATATATTGGTGGATTATGGAGATTCTGATTTTTTTAATGAAGTCTATCCATGCTTGGTGTGTATGTGTATGTGTGTATGTGAGTGAGTGAGAGACTCCTTGTAGAAAGAGCAGCAGGGCACGCTGGACGGAAAGGTCTCCCTCAAGACCAATTAATAGCCCTTTTCCTGCTGGGATTGTATAGCAATGGAAGCACCTACTTTGATTCTCCCCACAGTCTGGTAGAACGATGCAGTTATAACTATATAGACCCTTTCGTCTGTGGGAGAGCTGTCTGGATACGATGATGGCTCCATCTCTTGGTTCCTTTCTTCAATCCGCAGCTACTCGCCATGTCCAGGCTGCTACTCAGACTCTGCTGAATGTCCCTTATGGGCTTGGAGAAGGAGAGAAACTTGATGTGTATCTTCCTAAAGAGCCCTCTCAAAGTAAGAACACAAGGGATGCACTAGAATGAAGGGGATGGGGAGAAGCGAAATAGTGATGAGGCTGGTTGTTACTACAGATCTCCAGAAAGTTTAAAGCCATGGGGGGGATACTCTGTTTTTCTCATCCCCCCCATAAAAACATAAATTTATGGGCAAATGGAATATATGCAATACTTTACTGTAGCTACGGTGGCTCAAGTGGTTAAGACGCTGAACTGAAGGCTGTGGAAGGTCAGTAGTTCACCAGTTCGAGACCCGAGTGTGCCACATGATGGAGTGAGCTTGCGGTCTCTAGTTCCAGCTCCTGCCAACCTAGCAGTTCGAAAGCAAGAAATTGCAAGTAGATAAATAGGTACCACTTCAACGGGAAGGTAACAGCGTTCCGTGCGCCTTGGTGCTTAGTCATGCCGGCCACATGACCACGGAAACGTCTTCGGACAGCGTTGGCTCTTCGGCTTTGAAACGGAGATGAGCACCGCAACCCTAGAGTCGGACTCGACTGGCTTTCGAGCAAGGGAACCTTTACCTTTACCTTACTGTCAAACCTAAACCTATTTCGTTGCAGTAACACCATAAAATGCATCATTTATAGCTAGCATATAAAATTGTATTAATTGGCATATTTATGGAATTTAGAAGTATAAATGCCTTAGTTTTCTATGAGCAAAATTGCAAGTGGACCAAATATTCAAACAAGAGAAACCTGACAATTGTGACATCCTATGTTATTTTACCACTTTTCACATTAAAAAAACAACTTTTTAATTACTCCTCCCAAATTGTCTGGTTTTTCCATCAGAAAAAAATTGCTATGTTTTCTGAGTATTAAAAAAACATTTCTTTCACTTCAGAAGAAAAAATATCATAGGAGCTTTTCCCTTCTCAAAATTTCTGTTTTTCCATTGAAAAAAAATGAAAAGTCCTCAGACTCTTCATACTGTACATTGTGAGTGAGTAAAACCTTGTCTTAAAAAGCAATACACTAATTTTTAAAAAAATCATAGAATTTTTTTCAGTGCACCCCCCCAAATGATATTTTTCAGTGGAAAAATTGAAAAGAAGTCCTTGGGGGGGGAGGAAGGTTTGTGTGTGGGGGACAAACACTCCTTAATTTTTTTCATTTTCTTCTGGACTTTCACATCTCTGATTGTGACAGAGGGAGTGGGCAGTGCGGTAGTGCTAGGCAGTGGGCTTTGCTGCCTGGTTATCCACTGTATTTCTTTTCAGCCTTTCCTCTGGTCCTCTACATTCATGGTGGCTACTGGCAATTGCTGAGGTGAGTTGTGCTGTGCAGTCCTTAGGCAAAGGAGAGCAGTGGGGCCCCTGAACATTTGCCCATAGGACTCAAATGGGAGACTTCCTCATCCAACAGAACTCTCCATCTCCACATGGGATTCCTATTTTCCCTGTTCTTGGGGCTGGGATAATGGTAAATGATGAAAGAGTACCCTGTGACCATTTCCCCCTTTTTGGCTTTCTGCTTCAAGCAAAGAGGTTTCAGGCTTTGCTGCATGGCCTCTAGTGACCCATGGCATTGCCTTGGCTGCTGTAGACTATGATGTGGCTCCCAAAGGTAAGTGATTGTGGTGGAAGACGTTTTCCCTCTCCCTGTTCTAATCCCCGTACCATATCATGACAAACTTGGATTCTCTGCTTTTTGCTCAGGCCAGCTGGAGGAGATGGTCAGGCAGGTGCGACGTAGTGTGGCCTTTGCAGCTCAGCAATATACAGGGAGCAGGTAGGAGCTGCTTTTATGCCTGTGAGGTCTCCATGAAGCAATCCGGAGAGGGGGAGCCCAACGGAGCACCTGTATCCTACCCAAGTCCAGCAAGAGGCTGCTAGATGCTTCTGCTACCTTTGAGTTCTGCCAGTGCAGTCCCAGCCTCTTTTCACCGGCTAACTGCAACTCCATCTCATTTGCTCTTAGCGGGTTTTATTTGCTTGGACATTCAGCAGGAGCTCTTGTGGCAGCCATGGTGCTTTCCACAGATTGGACAGAGTTTGGTGTTGTGCCAAACATCAAAGGTAACTGATTGGGAAACATCCATCCTATTATTCAAACATTTCAAATTGTGTTATTCCACACCTTCCTTTTGTAGCTCTGTGAAATATTAGATCAAGTGTCCTTAATGGCTGAAGTTGTTCTAGGATGACTTTTCCCTTACTGAGTCTTTGTGACTTTGTCCCTTTTCTTTTCAGGAGCATTTCTGGTGAGTGGTGTGTACGACCTGGAGCCTATAATACACACCTATGTCAATGATGCACTGCACATAAACTGGTGAGAGTTAGAACAGGAGTACCCAACTTATAAAGGCAAGCAAAATGGTTCTCCTTGAGAGTCTCCTCCTCCTCCTCTGCTTGTTTCTATGGCCTACTGTTGATACCACAGCAAATGGATGTGTGGGTCACCAATATCTTTGTGGCCCAGGCACGCTGGCCTTTCAGCTCCCCGCTCATGAAGAGGCACATGGAGTGCCAAAAGGTTGTCATATACAATCCACAGGACCTTATTTGGCCTTCTGTCAGCTGAATAAGTGAGGCTTAGGGCCTCACTGCACACAAACTGATCACAGATATGGATGGTAGGACTGTATAGAAATATTGATTTCTAAAAGTCTCCTGCCTTCTCCTGTGATTACATTCTGATGACAGGCTGTGCCTTATTTCCTGTTGCAAGCCAAATGGTGAGGCCAGATGACCTGAACAACTTTATAACCCACATTCTTTCACACGTCCATGCTAAAGGGTAGACTTGAAGGCTCCTGGTCTACGTTGAATACGTCACGTAGGCAATGAAGAAGCTGGGGTTTGGATCACCTGACTGCAGGCAGGGCCTCCAAACTTCTAGCCTATCCCCACATGCAGCTATGGCAACCAGCAATTGGCCACACACCTCTGCTGCTCGTGATTGGCTGAATGGCCGCAGCTGATTATGACTAGAATTGGGGTATGATTCCATTGAACTCTATGGGAGTGGGCTCTCTTGCTCTCTTCTCTCCTCTTGCCATTGTCTGTTTATTGCACCTGAAATGCTGTCTTTTGGGAAACAAAGAGCTGCTTTGTGAACTGGATTTCATGCGTGTGTAAAATGGGATTTCTTTTCAAGATCCCTTGGTACTCACATGGACTATGGACAATCCAAGTGGTAACTATGAATCTCATTAATGGGCAGTTAAGGCAAATAGCCATAGCCTTTGTTATTTTTGTATCCTAATAGTCTGGTTGCTATGCTCTGTACTGAATAAAGATCATTCTTATTTCTAATTGTTTCTGATGTGTAACTGAACTCCAAGGCTAAATCTTGTGTCTAACGCTGACCACTTAAGCTACCTTTATTAAGAGTAAAGTGTGCATCTCTAAGTAGAGCTGCTGATGTGTAAACCCCAGCTGCCAACTAAGGGCTTGAATTTCTTCCCTTAGGAAAGGCCGGGACTGTTGAAAGAGATTCTGGTGGCAAATTGTTCTGAAAACCAGAGAGGGTATAGACTACCTCGTGGTTTGTTGTTTAATGTGCTGAAAGTGCAGGGGTTCCCTCGCATTCCTGGACTGGACTGAGTGGGTTAATCCTGTACAAGGACTAAAGGCGTATAGGTCTGTTGGACATGCACATAGCCATGCTCATGTATTCCCCGGTGTTAAATAGTGGGTTCCGTGGATGAGCAGACCCCAAGTCTAGTGATCAGCTCTACTTTATTAGTGATTTCAGCAAGAACAAGACTGAACTCCAGGGCCACAGCCCTGTTTAAATAGCATGGAATTGCCACACCCCACTCCCAACGATAGGCTATTTACATAACATTACTTCTTGTTTGGTTACTTCCAGAGTCCTGGTGGGCTATTGTTCTTGGGCTCCAAGCTCAGCCCGTCTCTGGTAGAACAGTCCTAGAATGTTTCAGTCCCAACACATAACACCCGGGTTGCCCCAAGATAAATATGAGGCTTCTGTCACCAAATATGTACAGTCCCCACACTGTTTGTCTCTCTTCAGTGTCCCATAGAATCTGTCCTCATGCACATGTTGCCAACTGTGCTCACATTTTGCCCTGTTCACATTTTTTTCTAGGACATTTTGAGACAATCTTTCAGCTTTTAGCTTCACTGCATACAAAAACACACCGTAGGTTCTTCTATGCTCACACACTCTGCTTTTTCACTTGCTCCTTTGAAGATAAATGCTTGTAAAAAGTGTGTTCTGTGCAAAAACTGGTATCTCTTTGCTTTAACAGAAGTTCTGTATACTTTATCTGGCTCTGCCTTCTTCTAATCTCTGACTGCTCTCTCCCTAGGGTAGGAAGTTGCCCAGTCAAACAGTCCTTTGCGGTGTGCCCCTAAGTTGGAGGGCAGGCAGGGTTGCCCTGTACTAATTGCTGTAGCACAACATGACTCTCCTGAATTCCACAGACAGTCCTGGGAGTACTTTGAGGTATGTTGGGAATCGGAATCATTGTGAAAATTAAGGATTTCAGTGCCAAAGAAGTTCCTTTATTATCAAAGCCTTGCAATTCCCCACATTTTGTTGTTGTACTAGTCAGTTAAGGATTAGGCTAACAATGCTGAACATGAGACTAACAATCAATCAGTATGCTTAAAAATGACTTGGTTTGGTCTCTCTCATATCCTGTGAGTAAATATATGTTTGGTCTTTGTGTGCATATTTGGGTGCATGAACTTTGTGTGTGGAAGTGTACATAATGTGCAACTTTCATGTTCTTTAGAAGTGACTCTCAGAATGCTTTATGGAAATCATTAGGTTTAAACAGTTGCTTGTGTATATGACACACATACACACGACTTGCAGGCATGATACATACCTGTAAGTGGTGTGTGTGTGTGTGTGTGTGTGTGTGTGTGTGTGTCCAATGTTCCCTCTAAGCTGTGGAATCCTGTGAGCAAAAATTCTACTTTGTGAGGAACTGGCATTAAAGTTGTGAGCAAGCAATTTGGCTACTGCATAAATTAGCTTGCTCTGGAGCCCTCCTTCCTGAGCTAAGACAAAAAAGTGTGAGACAGAGGCTAAAAAACAGTGAGCTAGCTCACACTAACTCAGCTTAGAGGGAACACTTTGTGTGTCCACGTGGATGTATGTCTGAAAGGGTCTTATCTGGGATACTCAAGTTCAGATCCCCACTCTGCCATGGAAGCTTGCTGGATGACCTTGGGCCAGTCACACACACTCAGCCTAACCTACCTCAAAGGGCTGATGTGAGGATAAAATATGTGGTAAAAAGTTGAAAGGATAATGCAGTTAGAAAGAATGTTTGGAGAAGAGGCCCTCTGCCTCCTGGTAGTGTCCAGGCAAAAGAAGCTGTGTTGTTGTTGTTAAGATGGTTGCCTGAGTTGTTGCAGTTAAGGCTTCTTGTCCCAAGTTTTATATCATGTAAATCAGTGGTTCCCAAACTTATTTGGCCTACTGCCCCCTTTTCAGAAAAAAATTTACTCAGAGCCCCCTGGAAATCTACCTTCAAGAAGTAGACAAAAAGATGCAGTGACAAATTTGCACATAGTAAAGAAAGATGTTGTAAATGAGACACTTTAAAGCTTGAAATCATAAAAGTATTTTATAAAATCAACCATAGTAACATTTGCATACACACAGAAAATTAAGATAACAAAGGATAACATTAAAATAAAAACCACAAATGACATTAAAAATAATCCTAATGAGAAGGATGAGCCTGGTGCACTGCTATCAATTTATTAATGTCTGGCTCTATTTTTGTCAGCAGCAATCTTAAATCAGCACAATTAGCTATTTGCAGTCGGTTTCTTTTTTTAGTTAACAGATTTGTGACAGCAGTGAACCCACGTTCCACTAAATATGTTGAAGGAAATGCAATTAGAAACTTTTGTACTATAACCCATAATCCAGGAAAAAGTGTAGGTATCTGCTTTTGCAGCCAGAACTGTTGGCCAGAGTTTTAAAACCAAAGGAAATAAAACTGTGCTCTCGCCTGTTAGATACGAGACTCTAGGCAACAGGTGAACAGTGATAACAGCTTTATTGAACAAAGTCAGAGAAACCAGAACGAGACAAACAACAGAGCAACAGGCTCCTTTTTAAACAGTCCGGGCTTGGCAAGCCACGCCTACATGTCAGATAACAACCAATCATATTTAGTACATAAAGACCAATCGCTTGGAATCTTACGATACTTAAGCCGTATAGGCGCTACTGAGGGATCCAGGTCAAAGGTTACTGGCGGCCCTCTATACAGTCCCAGGTTACCATCAAACACATCAGCAAATTCGACATACAGAGAATTCAATTTATTTGCATTGACCTGGTTAATTCCACTAATAGCAATTCCAAGGGCCTCAAACCAGTCCAATCCCAAACGACTGGCTCAGCACCCCTCGGCAACAAGGAGACTCAGAGACTCCTTGAACCCTTTGAATTGTACCTCAAACGTGGCTTCACCGGCCACAGGAATGTGCCTTCCCTGAAAATCGGATAGGTGGATTGTGCTCGGCTTCAAACACCAATGGCTCCACCGCGGAAACAAGCGTTGCAAGGTTTCTGACGAAATGACGGTTACTGATAATATCAAGTCAACCTCCATCTCGCACAGTACGGCATTCAACAAGACAGTGACATGGATCTTCTTCTTTGCTCGCGATCCGGTCCTCAGGATGGTCGAAGGGCAGGAACAGCAGTTGGTCAGATGGCAATCTGTAGACCTTGCGTTGTCCTCGCCTCGAACCCGGGGACGTGCACGAGGAGACGACGGTGGTGTCTTCTTCCTCTTGGCCTTGCAGCCTCTGGACAAGTGGCCTCGCTTGTCACAGGATCGGCATACGATGTCCTTCGCCCAGCATCGATCCCGCTCGTGATCTCCGCCGTATCAGGAACAGGTTTGCCTCGGCGCAGTTTTCACTTGGGTCTGCTTGGGCCTCAGAGTACGAGAATGGTTGATGTCATAACGCTCACAATTGGACTCGCTCATTGACTCGTGGTGCACGGATTTGTTGGCCCCCTGTTGGATTGGAGTTAGGTTTTGATGCACTTCTTGTGTTGCTTTCTCAGCGCCCTCGGCGGCAACAGCCTCCGAGTAGGCCACGGCATAGGTGAGAGCCGTCTGTGCGAACAATCATTGCTGCAGCTTCTCGTCCCTCATGCCACAGACGAGTCGGTCGAGGAGCGCTTCCTTGAGGTCGGTGAAATTGCACGGGCGTGCAGCCTTCCACAAGGCCGACACGTATTCAGCAACCGTCTTGTTCGCTGCCTGAGACTGCTTGTAGAACGTGTGCCGGCTAGCAATCTGCGAAGGTTGCGGTGCGAAATGCCCTTCAATTTCAGCTTAAGGTCGGCCAGGAACATGGTTTTGATTTCAGCCAGAGCGACCAGGAACCGAGCGACGTCGAAGACAGCCCTTCCGCAGGAGCTGAGGAGCGTTGCCTTCTGCTCGTCCTCATCCTTGATCTGGTTAGCCTGGAGGTGGAACTCAAACGTAGCAAGGTAGGAATCCCAGTCCTCGAGGTCTGGTTCGAATGCTTCGAACCGTGGGTTGACAGCCATCATTGCTCTGGGTGCAGGCACCGGCACAAGTGCTGCAGCCGCTTGATCAGCCGTGTCTCGTTCTTCTGCCCTGGGTTCCTCAGGGGCTTCTCGGTCGTCCGCCGTTCTGGCGTTGGGTCAGCAGGGCTGCCTGCCCGCTCTAGTATCCCATCCTCGTCGCCAATTGTTAGATATGAGACTCGAGGCAACAGGTGAACAGTGATAACAGCTTTATTGAACGAAGTCAGAGAAACCAGAACGAGACAAACAACAGAGCAACAGGCTCCTTTTTAAACAGTCCGGGCTTGGCAAGCCACGCCTACATGTCAGATAACAACTAATCATATTTAGTACATAAAGACCAATCACTTTACTTCCCTCCAGAACTTCCCTGGTTCTGATAGATTGGTTTTCAATACCTTACATCAGACTCAAGTTCAATATACATTCCATTCCATTCCATTCCATTCCATTCCATACATAACATCGCCCTACCTGCACAACACTCTCAAGAGATCAGAAAAGCACAAGACATACAAAAGCCCTGGCCCAAAACTGGAAACACTGACTGAAACATACCCCAGTCCTCCCTCACAGCCAAAAACCCAAAAAGATTAACCACAGAACGCAACCAAACAGCCCCACAGCAGCAAGGCCCCCCAGCAAAAAACAGCAACAAACAAGCAAAAACAAAAACGTTTGTCTGACAAACCACAGCACAGAAGCAAGGCCCACACACTCCCATACCCACCACCAGTACCCTCTCAAGCAACCACAAAAGGGATAAAGCAGAACTTTTAAAAACAAGACATTCACAAATCACAATGGAAAACCACAACAGAACAACACCAGAGCACTATCAGGGACAACAAGCGCACAACACCAAACCCACAAACAGCAGCTGCCCCCCTAGCTAACCAAAACACACAAAGGAAACAGCAGTGCAGTCTCAAGAAATATATTTAAAAACCAACCAGAAAATTATAATATTTAAACAACCAATAACAAAAGTTGAATCACAAAATTAAAAACGTTGAGCAAAAACCCCCACCACACCAACAAACAACTACTACAGTTAATTTAAAAAAATCCAACAGAAATACCTTTAAATGCAAACCAAACTTTTAAAACTGTCTCCAAAATGTTTTAACTTTAAACAATTACACCAAACCCCCACCCCACCCCCAACAAGCAACTACAGTTAACTTAAAAACAATCCTACAGTAATACTTTTAAATGCAAACCAAACTTTTAAAACTGTCTCCAAAATGTTTTAACTTTAAACAATTACACCAAACCCCCACCCCACCCCCAACAAGCAACTACAGTTAACTTAAAAACAATCCTACAGTAATACTTTTAAATGCAAACCAAACTTTTAAAACTGTCTCCAAAATGTTTTAACTTTAAACAATTACACCAAACCCCCACCCCACCCCCAACAAGCAACTACAGTTAACTTAAAAACAATCCTACAGTAATACTTTTAAATGCAAACCAAACTTTTAAAACTGTCTCCAAAATGTTTTAACTTTAAACAATTACACCAAACCCCCACCCCACCCCCAACAAGCAACTACAGTTAACTTAAAAACAATCCTACAGTAATACTTTTAAATGCAAACCAAACTTTTAAAACTGTCTCCAAAATGTTTTAACTTTAAACAATTACACCAAACCCCCACCCCACCCCCAACAAGCAACTACAGTTAACTTAAAAACAATCCTACAGTAATACTTTTAAATGCAAAACAAACTTTTAAAAATTCCCCCCCCAAATTATTAAGTGTAAGAGAGTAAGGCTTAGCCAACCTCCATCCCTCACCCAACAGAACCATAACCCAAAGCCACCCTAAGCAGGCCGCCCAACCTAAAGTGAAGGGACACTAATTTGAAAGGTCCTTTTACTAATATCTTCCTTTTAAAAATATATTATTTCCCCCAAATCTTACCTTTTAGATGTCTTCTTCAGTCCAGGTAGAGCCCCCCAGGAGCCAGGCAGGCTAAGGTAGGCACAGAGCAGCAGCTAAAGGCCTGAGGCCAACAGCAGCCACCACACAATAGCCCAGCAGCAACACCAGCCTTACAAGGGTGCACATCCATTTGCAATTTGCAAATGCATGGCAGTGATTGGCTGTGGGGACCCCTCTCCCCCTCCCTACCACCCACCTGGATCGTTCCAGTGCCCCCCAATTGCAGCCAAGGCTCCTACCGCCCACCTGGATCGTTCCAGCGCCCCCCAGGGGGCAGTATTGCCCACTTTGGGAACCAGTGATGTAAATAAACCTGTTTGGTTTCTTCACAAGTGGCTGAAATCAGTTCTTTGGGGAACCTGGAAGAACTTCCTAGGTTCCCATTATAACAAAAATGCAGAAGGGGATTATGCTGTAAGCCACTTTGGGTCCCCATTGGGGGGGAAATGGGGTATTGTCAGCAAGCTGCCATTCTGTTTTCTGTGACCTCTGTGTACATATCCTTTCCCTGTTGCACCCGGCTTGGTTTCTATCATCCTGCTCCTGCGTTGGAATGCAAAAGATAACTGCTGGAGGTTGTGTGGGGGAGAAGATGCTGTAATGCTTGGCTATTGCTTTTCCCATGAGTACTGCACCTGTGTTTTGTCTACTATCCTGCCTAGTTCCCATGGACTGGGCGCGCAACCGTTTCCTTAGCCCGCCAGCGGGAAAGTTATTCATTGGACCTGTATCTGTTTGAAGTTCCTTTATTATGCTTGACCTAACTGTGTATCCCCAGTTCTAACAAAGAACGTGTTTGAGTATGTCTTCAACGCTTTGAAATAAATTTTGCTTTTCTTAAAACGTGGATTTATTCTCGATGCTTGGGGATCCAACATATTGTTAGAACTCCCTTTTTCCTATCGTTCCGAATCTGGCAAGATCATGAGCGGAATTGAGGGAAATCTACCTAACACGGAGGGGGAGCGGTCCCACAACCCTCCTGGTCTTGGGTGTTCACGACTGCAGCCTCGATGGAGGGTGCCGTGGGGGGAGCGATTCCCCGCCTGCCTGCACATCTGTCCTGGCCGCCTCCGACCCCTTCGCACTGGGGTCCGCGGAAGACTCACCAGCAGGATGACTGGACTATGTACAACACCCAGGGCACCCGTGAGGTGTACTCCCGTCGGGGGAGCGGATTACGTGAGAGTCTGTTTGACAAGGGATTGTTCCCGGAGCCGGGGTCTACCTCGGAGAAGGGGAGTCCCAAGCAGGACCTCGAGGAGTGGATGTTCGAGCCGTCGGGACCGCGAGGCCACGCAGAAGATGAGGAGGGCACCGGAGCCTTCCAAACGGAAGAGGACTATGACCCACCCCCGGACTACCGCCCTCGGGACCCCATCCCGGAGGAAACTACCGGGGAACGACTAGCAGAACTGGAAGACTCGGTGAGAGACTTGTTGCGGGCATTCCAGGATGTGATGGAAGGTCTGCCGGGAATGATGGACGTTAGAATGGCTAATTCCCTAGACGCACACGCCGCGCAGCAACAAGTTGCTCCTGCACCGGGATTGCCCACGCCGCCGATGCCTGCTCAACCGCTGATGGGACCTCCGCTGCAAGCACCGGGAGTTCCCGCGCAGCAGGTACCTGTGCAGCCGCCGGTGAGACCGCCTCTGCAAGTGCCTGTGCAACCGCCGATGCCGGGGGGTCCGCCGGTGCCGGGTCTGCCGCCACCACTGAGGCCAATGCCAGCGGGGCCACCGGTTGTACCGGGTTTCCCTCCCAGGGGAGTTCCGGCTCAGCTGGGCCCGTTGGTAAGGCCTCCACGGCCCAGACCCAAGGATCTACTGGAGGCTACCTTCGACGGCAACCCAGATGAACTCGCTTTCTTCACGGTGAGGGTGCATAAATTCGTAGAAGAAAGTCGACACCTGTTCCGAAATGAAGCTGGTCTTATTGATGTCATCTCGGCAAGACTGAAAGGAGACGCCGCCACATGGTATGTTGGACTGCACAATGACCGCGGTCCGGAACTTTTGAATTTGCGAGCATTCATGTGGGCGCTGCGGGCGAGATTTGAAGATGTCAACGCGAGTCAAAGAGCTAAAGCGTTTCTCCGTACCTACCGCCAGAACAAGAAGTCGGTTCGCGAGTACACTCTGGAATTCCACAAGCAAGCAGCAAAGCTCCGAGACTACCCTGATCATATATTGGCTGAGATGTATCGCTTGGGTCTCAACGCAGACATCCGAGAAACGGTTCTGAAAACTGTCAACCCTGTCTCCCTGATGGCCTGGACCCAGGAAGCTGAAAATGCAGAAGACCGGCTCACCACCATCAAACTCGACCTGGCTGCTACGACCAACAGACCCGCCGCTGCC